GTCCGTCTGTCCGTCCGTCCGTCGGTCGGTCTGTCTGTCTGTCTGTCTGTCTGTCTGTCTGTCTGTCTGTCTCTGTGTGTCTGTCTCTGTGTCTGTCTCTGTGTCTGTCTCTGTCTCTGTCTCTGTCACTGTCTCTGTCTGTGTCTGTGCCTGTGTCTGTGTCCGGTCCGTCTCTGTCCCTGTCTCTGTCTCTGTCTCTGTGTCTGTGTCTGTCTCTGTCTCTGTCTCCGTCTGTGTCTGTCTGCCTGTCTGTCTGTGTCTGTCTGTCTGCCTGTCTGTCTGTGCCTGTCTGTCTGCCTGTCTGTCTGTGCCTGTCTGTCTGCCTGTCTGTCTGTGCCTGTCTGTCTCTGTCTGTCTCTGTGCCTGTCTGTCTGTCTCTGTCTGTCTCTGTGTCTGTCTGTCTGTCTCTGTGCCTGTCTGTCAGTCTGTCTGTCTGTCTGTCTCTGTCTGTCTCTGTCTGTCTGTGTCTGTCTGTCTGTCTGTCTGTGTCTGTCTGTCTGTCTGTGTGTCTGTGTGTGTGTGTCTGTGTGTGTCTGCCTGTGTCTGTCTGTGTCTGTCTGTGTCTGTCTGTGTCTGTCTGTGTCTGTCTGTGTCTGTCTGTGTCTGTCTGTGTCTGGGTGTCTGGGTGTCTGGGTGTCTGGGTGTCTGGGTGTCTGGGTGTCTGTGTCTGTGAGTGTGTATGTGTGTGTGCGCGTGTGTGCGTGTGTGCGTGTGTGCGCGTGCCCGAGCGGCTGCATGTGTGTTGTGGGCGGGAAAGAGGCAGTCCGAAACGGAAACCTATGCAGGCATCAACTCAGCTCTCACTCGGAAAAGAACAGGTACTCTAAAGGCCGTCGTGATTCGTGCAAGCGCCTTTGGCAAACTCTGGCTGCTACAGGCCTTATAAGGGCTGTTGGACCGCTTTTAGGGCTGTATGTTGGCAACCTACGGGCCTTATGAGGGCTGTTGGGCCGCTTTTAAGGCTGTATGTTGACAACCTACAGGCCTTATGAGGGCTGCTGGGCTCCTTTTATGGCTGTATGCTGGCAACCTACAGGCCTCATGAGTGCTGTTGGACCGCTTTTAGGGCTGTATGTTGGCAACCTAGTGACGGCTGTTGGACCGCTTTTGGGGCTGTATGTTGGCAACCTACACGTTTTATGTATGTTGGGAACCTACAGGCCTTATGAAGGTTGCTGGATCGCTTTTATGGCTCTAAATTGGCAACCTACAGGCCTTATGATGGCTGTTAGACCGCTTTTAGGGTTGTATGTTGGCAACCTACGGGCCTTTTGAGGGCTGTTGGGCTACTATTATGGCTGTATGTTGGGAACCTACAGGCCTTATCAGGGCTGTTGGACGCTTTTAGCGGTTGTGCTTTCCTCGGCCCATCTAGGCGAAAAAACAAAATGCAATGAAGATCCTTTCGGCATCAGAGGTCTGACAAGTTAGAGTTTGCCAAACAAAGCGACTCTTGAAATAGTCAAATGCGGTCCTTCTGTGCATCAGTAATTGTGCCTGCGCAACCATCGCAGCATGCCTATAGCCATACCTTGCCCTTCCTTCGTCGAGGAGCTGCTTTCAAGAGCTCTTCTTCGAAACCAAGCATGTCCTCCAGCGCAGCGCCACAGCTTGGAGAGCACGGCATCCACAGAAGTGGTTGGATGATTCATGTCGCATGGGCGATTTGAATATTTGAGCATTTTGTTGGCTGGAAAAAAATCCGCTAATCATGTCTCACCTTAACTTTGATAGTCAGATTACCAAGAAGAGTGATCGCGCACTTTACCGGATTCCTGTGCAAGTTCCTGGATCCATTCCAAATTTAAAAGATGAGCTGCAGGGCATTCGCGAAAAGTCAAACGTCATGCCCGATACTGTCGCATCAGTTGCTTGGCAACAGCGGAACCAAAACCTGCCAAAGCCTTGCAGGGTACTCTTTGTGAGCATTAGTACAGAACGTACCATCTTCACAGACTCCAATCGCATGAGCTGTCGGATGAATTGCGTACGGGTCCACAAATTCAAACAGGGTGGACAAACGAAGGCATATGCAAAGTCAGAAAGCCAGTAGGTGTGGCTGTCGAAACCGAAAAGCGCCACTGTCTGATTTTATGTTTACCCGGGGACCCCGGGTAGAAGATATTAAAGAATTTTTGCAAGTATAAGTCAACCAAATCTCCCGAGTGCCGAACGCATTTCAAATAGCATTGCCAAAACAGACCGAATCACCAACAATACGTTCTATTTGAAATGGGGGGCCGGAGAAACATGTTGGATGTAACATCAAACAAAATCCCACACAAATCCCTGACCATTGCAAAATCGGGGGATTATAAAGCACCAAAATAATGATAAATCATTTCCAACGTTGGTACCCTCCCTGTTTCTTGATGGAAAATATTGGTCTTGCCCCACTTGTGTTGCAATGCTCCACAATGCTAAGTTTAGAGAGTTCATGCACATGGGTTGTCAAAAATTGTATCATAAGTTCACGAAAAGTTCTCAAAAAAGACTGTTTTGTTGCACTTGTTTGGTACACATGGGCATGATTTTTGTCAGTTTCCCACAACAATTGTCATTGTTTAAAGCCAAAACTCAAGAAACACTATGCTTTTTGATACTTTTTCAGGGACTGTTGAATAGAAGCAATTCTATATCCATAGCTTCTATTTGATTGGAACGCTTCGAAAAGTGGAAACCCAATAGGAAGACCCAAACTGCACAACGGTGTCTCGTTTGGATCTCGTTTGGTTTGGCCTAAACTGGAAAATACTGGTCTTACTCTACTCTACTTGTCTTGTAACGCTCCACAATGCAAAGTTCAAAGGCATTTAGAAGTGATCATCCTCATGGCTGGTGAAAGACCCACTGCGGAGCAGCACATCAAAAATCTTCGCGCGCCAGCCCGGAGCTTCCATGATATATAATGCTTTCTTGAAAAGCATGTCGCCTGGCTGCCCTGGCAACTCGCCGCTTCCAGCTCCCGAGACCTGAGTGCCATTGATCGATGAGCTGGAGGCGTCTGCGGTCGCCTCTACTCCATGTCACCAGCGCAAGTCGTGATTCAACCCTTTCAACCAATGGTCACCAGGTCCCCACGATGGTGCGCTTCGACATGGATCACATCGAAGCAGAAAAGCCGGTCCATGGGCAAACAGGCGCTGGGCATAAAGTAAGCGATCTGCAGCAAGCTGGGCCCTGGAATCAAGGGTCAGCAAACAAGCGCTAGAGAAGCGCCCGTCCAAACGTTTGCCTGCCCTTCAAAGCTTGGAGACCATTCTGTGCAAAGCCTTGCGCAAACAACCAAGTTGGCGGCCGGCGGGTGTATGCCAAGATTCACCTGCAAAGTATGGCGTGGGAAGGATCGAAGACTGAAACAGTTGAAATCGAAGGCGTGCTGGCAAATTCATCAGTTTGGTGACCCAAACCTGGCTAAAAAACCTGCGCGCCTGGATTACAGGCAAAAGCCAGAGACGCAAAGGCATCACATGCCGATGTGTCAGCAGGAACAGCAAGGCCACGGCGATCCCACGTATGCATGTCCGCTGCATGAAGGATACATCATCAGTGGGAGGTCTAGTTACATCTGCAGCGTGCATCGGAGGTAGCAGGTAGCTGCAGATTAACTATATCTGGAAAGCAGCTTCATACGTCCAACGAAGACAAATACCGATACCAGACTGAATCTCAACACCTACAGCATCGAAACGGGCCCTGACCAAGCAGTGCATCTACGACCTTCACTCTGCGCCTGAAGCTCAGCAGCTTCGATGAAATCTGGAATCGGAACAACAGGTGTTAGAGAAAGCGCTTCGTTGGAAATGGCACTACGGCTGAATTCCCCCACCTTGATCTAGGTAGGGGTGGTCGCACCACATGAATGAAAAACGGTGAGTTGGGATCAAGCTGATCTATCCAAACTCGACGCAAGATGTGAATCCAAGTGACCCAGGTATAGTGAGCAAATTTGGAGCATCATCCCATGCTGATCGTATTTCTGAGCATGTGCGGGCCAGGACACGTAGAGAACCATGGGTTGCGGACTCTATTGCTGCCTCTTTTTGCATTGGGCGTGCGGCGTGCGGATGATGAACTTTCATGCCGGTCAGTACATGCACGGGCGATCAGAATGGTGATGTTTGAATGAGCATGCATTGATGCTGCCAGCAGATGCGACAAACCCACGACAGCGGCCACCGCATGTGACGCAAATCAGGCTTGGCTTGGTTTTATGATCTTCAGGAAGTTGAGGTCATTGGGGGAGATCCTCTCCTCATATCCATCTGGTGCACTCCGGAGAGTCCTGTCCTGGGAAAATATCGTGATTAATTTTTGGGGTCCTGGCCTTTTTAAGATTAAAATCCTGGTGCTTGACCTTACTTGCCGGAATTTATAGTCTCAGACGAATAAAACTTGCAGGCAATAATTTCCTGATGCTTAAGGTTTCCAGAAAGGCATTTCTCCCCCTCTAATATCAATTAAATTCCTGAGTGCCAACCCTTATATAATGCTCAACAAACAACCCCTCAACACATGCTGTTAACCGACTTATTTCCTGGGACCCAAGGTTTACATATGAATGTTTCGAAGCCCATGACAGATTCGAGTGGGGGCTATCTGAAGACGAACCCAAAACTCAATTGTTTATCGAATGAATTACCACATTCCCAATTACTTGGGAGTATGTAAAATTAAGAATCAGATGCTTTGGGGCTTACCGCAATTTCACAACCACCCAAATTAAATCACGTGTTAACAATATCCTGGGCTGCACGGACCACAACTTTAGCAAATAACCCGCGCCTGGAACATATTAAATCGTGGATCCGAACGTTTCCAGCTCATTTTATGCGTTGGCGAAGCTGAACATATGTCATATGTGTTTGCACCCTTTCGCATGGACAAATGCGCGTTGACACAAAATTCTTGAATTTGTCACATCATTTCGTATCTATGGATGGTTGGCCTGGTGATGCGACTTTTTTTTCCTGTGGGGCCAACCTTTGGAGATCATCCGAAAGTATTCAGCCAAAAAAGGTCCAGCCCCTTGGAATTTATTTTTGACACCTGCGCCTCGGCCTCTTCAAGTCACCTTTTTTGGTTGGTGAAGCTGAACATATGTGGTTGTAGCCTTTTGCTAGGACAAATTTATTTTCAGCAAAAAAACATGTGTTTTGCATTTTGAGCGCGCATTGGCACAAAATTCTTGAATTTGTCACATCATTTCGTATCTATGGATGGTTGGCCTGGTGATGCGACTTTTTTCCTGTGGGGCCAACCTTTGAAGATCATCCGCATGTATTCAGCCAAAAAAGGTCCAGCCCCTTGGATTTTATTTTTGACACCTGCGCCTCGGCCTCTTCAAGTCACCTTTTTGGTTGGTGAAGCTGAACATATGCCTTGGAATTTATTTTTGACACCTGCGCCTCGGCCTCTTCAAGTCACCTTTTTGGTTGGTGAAGCTGGACATATGTGGTTGTAGCCTTTTGCTAGGACAAATTTATTTTCAGCAAAAAAACATGTGTTTTGCATTTTGGGCGCGCGTTGACACAAAATTCTTGAATTTGTCCCATCCTTTACTATCTATGGATGGTTGGCCTGGTGATGCGACTTTTCCTCTGTGGGGCCAACCTTTGAAGATCATCCGCATGTATTCAGCCAAACAAAGGTCCAGCCCCTTGGATTTTATTTTTGACACCTGCGCCTCGCCCTCTTCAAGTCACCTTTTTGCTTGGTGAAGCTGAACATATGTGGTTGTAGACTTTTTCAAGGACACATGTATTTTCAAAAAAAACAGTGTTTTGAATTTTGGGCGCGCGTTGACACAAAATTATTGAATTTGTCCCATCCTTTACTATCTATGGGTGGTTGGCCTGGTGATGCGACTTTTTTCCTGTGGGGCCAACCTTTGAAGATCATCCGCATGTATTCAGCCAAAAAAGGTCCAGCCCCTTGGAATTTATTTTTGACACCTGCGCCTCGGCCTCTTCAAGTCACCTTTTTTGGTTGGTGAAGCTGAACATACGTGGTTGTAGCCTTTTGCTAGGACAAATTTATTTTCAGCAAAAAAACATGTGTTTTGCATTTTGAGCGCGCATTGACACAAAATTCTTGAATTTGTCCCATCCTTTCCTATCTATGGATGGTTGGCCTGGTTTTTTTCCTGTGGGGCCAACCTTTGAAGATCATCCGCATGTATTCAGCCAAAAAAGGTCCAGCCCCTTGGAATTTATTTTTGACACCTGCGCCTCGGCCTCTTCAAGTCACCTTTTTTGGTTGGTGAAGCTGAACATATGTGGTTGTAGCCTTTTGCTAGGACAAATTTATTTTCAGCAAAAAATATGTGTTTTGCAAATTTGGGCGCGCGTTCAAGACAAATGTACCCCTTTGCAAGGACAAATGTATCTTTGGAATTTGTTCCTGATGTCTAACCTACGCACATTCAGCATTATAATCATTATAGCACCATTTCCACAGATTTAAATCCTGGTTCCCAACCTTTTAGAGTCATGTAAAGAACCATACCCCCTCAAATAATCATGGGGCATTTTTTTCCTGGGGTTTGACGTACATATATGTTCCAGTGAACTCCCCCCCCATGAACATTACTTTCCTGTGGCCGGACGTTTGCAAAATAATCTTGAAATATTTTTGACATATTTTGAACCAAAATTGTTTTCCTGGGTTCGAAGGGACGCAGGGTTAGCATGTGCAAATCGGATCAAATCGGTGATTTCAAGATTATTAATTTGGTAGTGGACCCCCAGGAAAATAATCTGCATCACCAGATGGCTATCTCTCCTCTATGTTGACACCTGATTTTTTCACCCCACGCAGCGACCGCGTTGCCTACATGCTTGCAGCAGAAGGGTTGATCAGAGCTAGCTGACACGTCGGCAGCATTACTGTGTGGAGGCGCAGGCTGCGTGCAAATGGCAATGGTAAAGGAATCCCCATAATCAAGGCCATGTGCATGAGCCATGGAATTCGGAAAACGGCCACCTGCATGCCGAATTGCGCACTGATGATCATTAATTACATTGATTGCCAGCTAGGCACGATCAACAAGCAACTGCATAAGTGGACTGTCACCAATCTGGATGCACGGTCTTCTGACGTTCCCTGTGCGATGACGATAATATCTTATGAAATCGGATGCGCACCAGCAGGTCTTGGCAGATCTGGCTCTACAAGACTGACAATATGATCAAAATCATTTGATCACTCCAAGCCGAACATAAACCTCCTTGCCAATTCCTCCAGTGACCTGTGAGCTCAACAACACGTGAACGCAGACAATCATGTTGGTGCACATACCAAAATCTAATATAGATCGCATTGTCAGTTCGTGGCTCAACCAGAAAACCATCTCCATGAAAGGTCTGCACAAGATGAAAATTTTCACCTGGAGGTCATCGGGAGTGTCATCAGGAGGTGGGTCATCGAATGCAAAGCCCCTAGATGGTGGTGTGAGATACTCATCAAAGAGGCGGCGCAATTCACCAAATTCGGCAAAATTAGGGCTGAGATAGACACGGCCGAATCCGACAGCGGAGCAACCAATCCACTAGGTGGAAATCGGGGGATCGCTTACGGAGTGTTTGCTTGGAGCTCTTATGGCGGGAAGTTCGTTTCTGGATCCCAGCCCAACAAAAAACTGTCCATGACATGAGGAGATAGCAATGGCCCATGTGGAGTGGATCCTCCAAGCCAATGAGAACATCAACCTGTTCAGAAAAACGCATTGACTGTTTTTGTCAAGAACGAAATCTGAATGAAGACCGGTTCTCCGAATCGACTTGGGAACGCATGTTTTGTCACTGGAAAACATTATTGGGATCTTATATTTGAGATTGTCAAAGACGACTTTCCATCTTTGCACGACGTAGGGTCTCGAAGAAATCTGTGAAATCGGATTCTTGTCGAATAGTCGTGATATTGAAGCAAAGGGCCCCCCACAAGACACCAGATTGCTGCATGCTGCACTGCTTGAAATATCTTGAAATAATCGGGCAGTAGGCCTGGTGGCCTCACGCATGCCCTTCACAACAAGACATGGGCATGCATGGCCACCCGATTGCAAGGGATCCATAGAACGTGGTATGACCTGGCTTGTCGGCATCGTCGCGTGAAGGAATGGACTGGACCGTGTCCGTGGTTCTGAGTGTCTCTACACTCTATAGACCTAGAAGGCTGCACATGCTTTCGAGTCATCCTGTAGCTTCACTCGTTGTTGCTTTTCAAGTCCGCTGCACCTTCCTCTTCGGGCTTGCCAGGCGCGAAAGCAGGGACTGGCGCCGGTGAATATGTGCACAATGCGGATCCACCAACTGCGCGAGCATTCAATGTTTGAATGTTCTTGCGAGATGTCGTGATGTCGCTGCGGGCCTTTTGGGCCTCTTCTTGCACAGCTGCTTCCCCTCCTGTGGAGTTGAGGATGGATCCAGGTATGCCTTGCGAAGGCAAGAGGTCAATTCTTGGTTGTTGGTAGCCACTACTGTTGGGGCATTGTGGTTACATTTTGCATCATCCCCTGAGTGAGAGTGGCTGAAATGTGGAACGTTGTTGGAGTCAATGTATACATTATAGGTGGTGCTGCTGAGGCAAATGGGGATGGTGCAAGCTCACTGTCGTTGGCTGTGCCACGCTTGCGCTTCCCTTTGCCCTTGGACTTCGAAACAGCACCTGTCTTCTTTGCACCTGGACTGCGATCCTGTCTCCTTCTGCTGGAAGACCTCCCAGGTGTGCTCTGCCCACCCGTCTTGGTTTTGCCAAGCGGAGTAGGTCCAGCTCTGGCTCAGCCGCTTTTTCTGTTTCTTCTGCCGATGAGGGGTTCGTTGCATCCACTTGGTGCCACACACGCTGCAAAGTACGAAATTCTGCCTCGCGAGTGATGTTGAGACAATATATACATGTGTGCAGTTTCAATATCTGCTTCCTGCTCACTGAGATGTAGCCTCGACGATGCAGCCACAATTCCTTCCCGGCAGTTTCTTCTTGCCGACCTCCTCCCAGTGGAAACAGTTGCCATTATGTCCACAAAGGTGAAAATGAATCCAAATCAGGACAAGCCAAGCAACACAATGCAGGAGCACCAGGTGATAGACCTTCCCAAAGGAAGCAGCTCCAGAAAAAAGTTAATTAATGGTAGAATGCAAGCCAGAAAGAAAATAAATATCCCAAATGAAAATCGGTGTTTAATGTAAGGCCACCGCAGAACCCCAGCGTAGTGCCAGTTGTAGGACATTAGTCGGCCAATCTAATGGCAGCGACTACCCAAGCTGTCGCTTTGCTGGGACACTTAAGAAAGCAAACCAATGCCCGCGGGTCGAATGGCGGTCCCCTAGCGTGGTGGGTTTTGAGCCCAGGCCTTAATTTCTGCTAAAAGCAAAAAATAAAGGATGGAAGGAACATCAAACGTCTTCATGTAGTTTTGGGGTATAGTTTGGGGACATAGTTATGGGGTATACGCGTCCCAGTGGTGAATTGCAATTTGACATGCGGCTGTCCTGGTCACCGCCATAGGCGAAGGCGCCCTTTCCAAGGTAGTCCGCAGCAACTGCAAATGAGTTTGACGATGGCTCAGAACCGTAACTCAAGTCATATCCGGCATCACATTCAGAAATCCTTTCCAACGCTTCCGTTTTGTATGAGTTCCACCTGAATTTTCCCAGAATGAAATGTGCTCTGCAATTCCGAGCCTTTTTGGGTCCCACCTGGCGATGTCTCACCAGGCGCCGGCAGGGCCTTGGCCTTGGCTGCCGCCTTGTCCGCAGCCTTTGCTTTCTTGCCTTGGCATCTTCGTATCATCCCATCATCACATACTCTTACTCTCTCACCACCACTATGTTCTGGACCACCAAAAAAGATGTCTGAGGCAACGCATCGAAGGCACGGTTTGGGATAGTTTTTGATATGTTTCCGTTTATTTCACTTGGTCGAAAAGAAATACTCAGCGTGGGACTTTCCATCTCAGGGCGATCTTGCCAGCGATTGTTATCCTGGCGCTCGGGCTTACCCCTGGGACAAAGTCATTTCTTCTGAAACTTCGTCAACGTTCTGGAGCCTAAGCAAATAACCTTCTCAAGTCTCTCACCAATCAACATACGTGATTCTTCTGGCATTGCGCGTCTTGAAGCATCGTTGGAAAATCTCAGGCGGAATCCACCTTCAAAAAAGGAATGCGCAGCATCCTTGGTGTAGAAGGAAGGTTTGCTGAGGTTCTCTAAACGTGGTAATTTCAAGACAAACACGGCACAAAGCGATACATCACGGGGTCAGCATGGATTTTCGGAGGCCCGGAGAACCAAGGTCAGTCAAGCTGTCACAAGGCCGAGCGTCTGCCCACCCTGATTTTCAAAGTCGGCGTATCGAGCATTCAGCACCTAGGACACGGAGGGAAAGGCGTTGAATCTGCACTATATCCATCATCATACGCACAATCTTACCATATAATCATTGTCATCAACTTTACGCTGGTTCCCCGGTTGCAAGACCTCTCCTAGCCCCAGGATTTGTCTCTGGTTTGAACCCGACTTGTTCTTCTCGCCACATGACATGCACCAGCGCCAATAACACCTTCAAAGCACACATCTTTTGTCGATGTGGCGAACTGACTTAAAACAACATAAAACAACCCTAAAACAACCCTAAAACAACCCAAGAACGCTACTATATGCCACCCAAGTTCCAAGCAACCCATCAAAATGTATCTGTGTGTGTAATTCGTATATACACATACATGCACATTAAATATACCTATATATGTCTGTTTATGTACATATATATATATGTTATATACACATACATGTATGTACATGTGTAAACACATATATATATAAATATACAGTATATATATTTATATAAATTAATGCGCCATACACAAGTGTATATGAATACGCCGACGACGGCCGACGCAAGGGAGAGCGCATCAGGGAAGAGAAGGTATGGGCAATACACCAACAACACAAACAACAACACCAACAACAACAACAACAACAACAACCACAACCACAACCACAACCACAACCACAACCACAACCACAAACCAACCAACCAACCAACCAACCAAACAACAAACAACCAACAACCAACAACCAACAACCAACAACCAACAACCAACAACCAACAACCACAACCAACAACCACAACCAACAACAACAACAACAACAACCGACAACCAACAACCAACAACCAACAACCAACAACCAACAACCAACAACCAACAACCAACAACCAACAACCAACAACCAACAACCAACAACAACAACAACAACAACAACAACAACAACAACAACAACGAACAACAACAACGAACAACAACAACGAACAACAACAACGAACAACAACAACGAACAACGACAACGAACAACGACAACAACAACAACAACAACAACAACAACAACAACAACAACAACAACAACAACAACAACAACAACAACAACAACAACAAAAACAACAACAAAAAACAACGACGACAACGACGACAACGACAACAACAACAGCAACAACAACACCAACAACACCAACAACACCAACAACACCAACAACACCAACAACAACAACAACAACAACAACAACAACAACAACAACAACAACAACAACAACAACAACAACAACAACAACAACCACGACAACAACAACAACAACACCAACCACAACAACTACAACAACTACAGCTACAACAACAATAGATCGATAGATGGAGAGATAGATAGATAGATAGATAGGTAGGTAGGTAGGTAGGTAGGTAGGTAGGTAGGTAGGTAGGTAGTCAGAGAAAGAGAGAGAAATAGTGAGAGAGATCAATCACCTTTCGCTCCATCAGTGGCTTCGCTCTGCCATCCCTGATTCACAACAAACAGCCTCTCCTATAGGTTTCCTATTTTTGAAACTTCCGCCACCGCCTTGTCGGGTACTACTGGTAATTCTGATAAACATGGGGGAAAAGGTCTGCGTTTTCCTTGGATAGGTGTTTCAGAATTCTCAAATTTTCGCTGTAGATGAGGATGTATGGATTTGTCGCTAGGGGCCTGATGTTTGCGAGAAATCGATGGAATTGAGACTCCAATTGGCTGTGTTGCTTCGGTGGGTGTTTCTTGCAAATTGCCAACATGCAACATATTGATGTTGCTTGCCTCTAGTTGCCATTTTACGCTTGCCTACAGCGGTACGCAAACCTTCTGAATCACAAATCTGAATTTCACCATTGATCATTAATGAGTTCCTTCTCCGGAATCTCGGGATATTATCTTAACGTTTTTTTTTTTAAAATTAGGCTTTTGAGGAGTCTGTTCAGTGCCTCAGGAGAAGGCTACGCAGTTCAAGGCCTGGAACGGGTTTGGCGCCGATTTTGACGGAAACCTCAGGGTCCCGTTCTTGGGTTACCATGGTTAGTCGGCTCTCATATGGTGGGATGCTGCCATTTTCCTGGATGCAAAGATGGTATCCTGCAGGCAATTTTGAAGCCTGTAGGCAATAGGTGCTACCGAAGGTAGGAAGGTGATGGGAGGTGAACAAAGCAGCATCATTCTGTGTGCGGAGACTTCTTACAAAAGCGGAACTTATATAAACAATTAACAATAATTGGATGATGTGTTGGGGTCCCCTCCCGCGCTTTAAAATATACATTTCACGCCCCCGATATGGACATGTATGATTTTGTTTTTCTTGTGTTTTGGATGTACATATTTTGGACACATTTAGATATTTTCTCGGAATTGGACGGACAATTTTGCAGGGTTTGCCAGTTTATATATACTGTACATATTATATATATATAATTATATATATATTTCGTATATACGCATGAATATTCCTCTCATACATTTATCTCCATAGAATGTTGGATCCTGGATACACGGCAACTTCTTCTCATTTCAATCGTTGCCGCAGCATCTCATCAGGCCAAAGAGAAAGCCAAGAGTGTGAAGAAAACAGGTAGGGTGTGGCCGGTGGGTCCATGAATGGTATAGATACCCACACACACATATATATATATACATACACATATATATATATATGTAACTTTATGATACTTTTTGCATATATATACACACAGGCATGGGGCATATGGGAAGACTATCCCGTAGCTTCTCATCAAGGTAGTACAGTGGTAGCGTAGTGGTAATATAGTGGTAGTATAAAATGGGAATGAGTGTATAATGGTAGCGTAGTGTATAGTGGCAGGAGTGGCAGCAGAGGCAGCAGAGGCAGCAGCATAGCAGCAACATGGCAGTAGCATGGCAGTAGCAGCAGCAACAGTGATCGTGGTAGAGGTAGGGGTAGGGGTAGCGGTAGGGGTAGGGATAGGGGTAGGGGTAGTGGTGGTGGTGGTGGTAGTAGCAGTAGTAGTAGCAGTAGCGGTAGCGGTAGCAGTGTTAGCAGTAGCGGTAGCGGTAGCGGTAGGAGTAGTAGTAGTAGTAGCTGTAGTATGTAGCAGTTAGTAGGTAGTAGGTAGTAGGTAGTAGGTCGTAGGCAGTAGGCAGTAGCAGTGGTAGCGGTAGGGGTAGGGATAGGGGTAGGGGTAGTGGTGGTGGTGGTAGTAGCAGTAGTAGTAGCAGTAGCGGTAGCGGTAGCAGTAGCAGTGTTAGCAGTAGCGGTAGCGGTAGCGGTAGGAGTAGTAGTAGTAGTAGCTGTAGTATGTAGCAGTTAGTAGGTAGTAGGTAGTAGGTAGTAGGTCGTAGGCAGTAGGCAGTAGCAGTGGTAGCGGTAGCGGTAGGAGTAGTAGTAGCTATAGTAGTTAGTAGGTAGTAGGTAGTAGTTTGTAGTTGTAGTTGTAGTAGTAGTAGTAGTAGCAGGAGTAGTAGTAGTAGTAGTAGTAGTAGTAGTAGTAGGAGTAGCAGTAGCAGTAGCAGTAGCAGTAGCAGGAGCAGCAGCAGTAGCAGCAGCAGCAGCAGCAGCAGGAGCAGGAGCAGGAGCAGGAGCAGTAGCAGTAGCAGTACGAGTAGGAGGAGGAGGAGGAGTAGTAGTAGTAGTAGTAGTAGTCGTAGTCGTAGTCGTAGTCGTCGTCGTAGTAGCAGTAGTAGTACTAGTAGTAGTAGTAGTAGAAGAAG